GGGGGGAGGAGGGCAGTGGGCCGAGCGGGCCATTACCCAAATCCCGCAGATGACTCCGAACAGGTCCTAGTGGTGTGGCAGCTGCGGAGGGCTACCAGCGGTGGCTGCTTGAGGCTGACCGACGCTGACGAGCGGGATCGTTGCTGGGCCAGGAGGAGTCGGCAGGACGCGTGCCGTTCGCCTGCAGCGGAGGGCCCTTCCCATTGCCTTTGGCACGCTCAGTACTTTGTCTCCTCTTGTCAAGTCCTCAACGCCACTCAGCGTCCCAATCGACTCGGACGCCCTTGTACCTGCAAAGGCCGCGGACATCGTAGTTGGACTGGCTGAGCTCACCAACGAAGCTCTGACAAAATCCAGCAAGGTGACGCTTGGGGTCCTTGGCTGAGTGCGGCCCCCACTCATGGTCACGGGCGGCATTCCAGCCGATCGCCAGCATGGGGCCGCATTCCTGTTTGAGGCGGTTGACCACCTCCTGCCAGTCCTCCTCCGGGTTGGTACTATGGTTCCAGGCGGAGTGCCACACCACCTTATGCCGCGGCTTGCATTAGAGCTGATCCTTGGCATCGTACTGGGCCGGACGCATTGGGTCGGGAGGCGGTTGCCGAGGCGTTGGCTCCTGCCGCCAAGGCGGCGTTCGTTCCGCTGGGTCCCATCTGCGCCGTCCTTGGGAAGCGCCCGGGCTGTGTTGCTCAGCAGTCCTGGGGGACTTGCGCTTTGGCTCTTCCACGGGAGCCTGCAGGGCGCCGGCACCAGACTGCCCCGCTGTCGGCGCCTGAGTGCAGTTGGGACTGGGAGAGGGGACCACAGGAGCAGACGTCTGAGAGGAGCTGCTGGGGCTACGTCGCCCCCCCCACACACACACACACACACACACACACACACACACACACACACACACACACACACACACACACGCAGACACACACACACACACACACACACACACACACACACGCAGACACACACACACACACACACACACACACACGCGCGCGCGCGCGCGTGCAAACTCTCTCTCTCTCACACTTTTAAGCCGGCGGCGCAGAGGAACCGCAGGCGCGGTTGGCAGATGGAGGTGCCAATTGAGAACGAACTTAGTCGAACGCGCCGTGATGAAAGAGTCCAGCCACGGCCGTGCAGATTGGTGGTGGTGGTGAAAAGATGAAGCACTGTAAAGCCAACGCGCAGCGGCCAAGCATCCCGCGAAGATGGCGCCGTGCAATCGCTCTCGCTTTGGCGCATGGCACAAATTCGTAAACCTTCGGCAAGACACATTGCTACTGGGCGACCCCTCCGACACGAATTCGTGCCTACACCTATGGGCCGCTGGGGCTCCATGCTATTCTAGGCGTCATTTCCCTCCGACGCAAATTCATTCCTACTCCTATGGGCCCACAGGACTCCTTGATATTCTAAGATTGTTCCCTACCTAGGCTCTGCCTAGAGGGTTCTTACTCTCTTTCTTAAAGGGGCCGGGCAGTGCACACCGCCCCAGGCGGTTCCCCCAGTATCCGCCCCGCGGTTCCCCCAGTTACGTCCCCTTAGCTTAGCGTTGCTTATCTCATCTTAGCTTAGTTTATTTCATCTTAGCTTAGCTTAGCTTCATCTTAGCTCAGGTTTATCCTGGCTTAGTTTACCTTCATCTTAGCTTCGCTGAGCTTTAGCATAGCAGAGCACAGAATAGCATAGCATAGCGTAGCATAGCATAGCGCAGCATAGCATATCATAGCATATCACAGCATAGCATAGCATAGCGCCACATAGCATAGCATAGCATAGCATAGCATAGCGCAGCACAGCACAGCACAGCATAGCACAGTGCAGCATAGCATAGCATAGCATAGCAGAGCAGAGCAGAGCAGAGCAGAGCATAGCATAGCATAGTGCAGCTTAACATAGCATAGCACAGCATAGTATAGCATAGCATAGCATAGCATCGCGCAGCATAGCACAGCGCAGTATGACATAGCATAGCTCAGCATAGCATAGCATAGCGCAGCATAGCATGGCATCGCATAGCATAGTATAGCACAGCATAGCATAGCATAGCATAGCATAGCGCAGCATAGCATGGCATGGCATAGCATAGCATAGCAACTAATGCTGCTTTCCAAGAGGCTCCAACTTCTAGGTAGGGTCGCACTGGGGTAATTTGGTTGTGCTTCTTCACCTCGCCGTTGTGGTAAACATGTGGTAGAAGTTAGATCCGTCTTCGTCTCAGCATCGGTGTTGATGTGGTAAAGATGTGGCAAAAGCGATATCAAGACTACTGGCAAAGGTTGTGGACAACGGAGATAGACGCAGGCTCGCACACAGGAGCAGTAACGATATGGCCGAGGCCGATATCCGGTCTCCCCTCATCTTTTCAGCTGCGATTCGGCGAGGGCCACGTCGAGGGATAATGTTTCTACACGAGACCCCCTGGACACCCCAAAAAGAGCGACTGTGGAATGCTCAATGACGAAGGGTCGAAACGATACCAGTTTCTGACAAGAAGGCCAACATAGGGTTAGAAACATGTTGGGTTTCCCCCTATCGCCCCCTACCCCCCCGCAGCCACACCACAATCTCTAACCTACTCATACCATCGCATCGGTATGTTTCGCCCTACTGTCAGGCTACAACGTAAGTTTGGGATGACACCCATAATGAGATCGACCTAATCAAAAATGTACCCAGCAACCCCCTGGGATACTGGTCTCACACCGTGGCACACACACACACGCGCGCGAAACACACACACACACACACAAACACGCACGCACGCACGCACGCACGCACCCACCCACACACACACACACACACACACACACACGCGCACGCACGCACGCACGCACGCACGCACGCACGCACGCACACACACACACACACACACACACACACACACACACGGACAACCGTCACCCTGGAAGGCTTTGCAACCGACGCGCTGGGTCAGCCATCGGGCCTTCCAAGGGATCCGAAACCAACATGTTTCCAACCACCCAATCTAAGGCTCAACCACCAGAAAGGGTCCACATGTCGACATCGCTCAGCCAAAGGAACATGCTGACAACACGCCCAGCGACACTGAAGCGGACAAATCCGACCCCCTCTATGCCCAATCCCAGCCAAACACGCGTCTTTGTCCCCGCAGACCTGCGCGCGCGCGCGTGGGCACACGCGCGCGCACCTCCTGGGTGCGTCAACTGGGGGGGAAGGGGAAGACTAGGAGGGAGGAGGGGGGACAGGAAGGGACAATTGGACGGGTGCGCAGGAGGAGGACAACCGTGGGGTCGTAGAGGGTCGTGGGGCGGCGTCGTGGTAAAGATCGACCGCCACAAGCAGCTTGGGCATCCGCGGCTCTTGCGAAGACTACGCCCACCCCCTCGCGAACGAGGGCGCGCACTCTCTGTGGAATTGTGGTTGTAGAATGGTGTAAAGGTGATCGTGGCAACATCGCGGTACGCACAATCTTTTACAGTGGAGGCCAGTCCACAAAAAACCTTCCACTAAACACCCAACCCTGAGACCCCTGGACGTCCATTGATTTCCGTGTGGGGACATCACGCTGTCCATAGCAAAACCATCGAAACCCAGGAAACTCAGGGCACCCTGGAGGCAAGCAGGGTGTTTCTTGGCATGGGTCTCTACTGTATCGTTGTCCCTCCCCCCCCTCCCCACCACTAGCCCCACGACCTACACGATCACCATCATCCTCCCGCCTCTCACCCATTACTGAGAGGATGTCGCCGCGCACGTGTTCTCGCTCTGGCGCGGCGCACATGCTCGTACATCCTCGACAAGGTACACTGGTAGCGGGCGACCCATCCGACACGAATTCGTTCCTACCTATGGCCAACGGGGCTCGACGATATTCTAAGCTTGTTTCCCTCCGACACAAACTCGTTCCTACACCGATCGGCCCCAGGGGCAACCTGGCATTCTAGGATGATTTACGTCTGCTTCTTCACCTCGCCGTTGTGGTAAGTATTTGGTAGGGGCTCTGTCTTTCTTCGTCTCCGTTTCGCCGGCGATTTCGGAAAGAATTTGGAAGAATCGATCTGAAGAAGATTGGTACAGATGATGGGTAAAAGCGACAAATGGAAGCTTCCACACAGGAGCGATAGAGATATGGCAAAGTGCAATATCCTGTCTCTTCTCTTCCTCTCAGCGGCGCCTCGGCGAGGACCACGTCGAGGGATCACCTTTCTACACGAGATCCCCCTGGACACCCCAAAAAGTGCGACTGCGGTATGCTCAGTGACGAGGTGGCCAAACAGTACAAGTTGCTGACAAGAAGGGCAACATAGGGCTTGCAACATGTTGGGCTCCCCCCCTCCCAAATCCATCCCACAAGAGCTAACCTACTCATGCCATCACTTTCGCCAGTCTGCCAGTCTACCAGGCCGGTTTGGGTTTACATCCACTATGAAAACGGCAAAACAACACATGTGGCCAGCAGCCCCCTTGGATACAGGGGTCCCACCACACACACACACACACACACACACACGGGACCACGTGCAACCGAGCCTCTTCGGGAGAGCTCGGTAGAACCATCGCGCGCAAGATGGCCCCGAGATCTTTCCTTAGACGCCTCCTCGTCCTCCTCCCCCTCCTCCGAACGGGGTTGTGGACAAGGAGGGGGTGTTTGCAGCGCTGAAGTGCTAGCACGGTTCCGGAGTTTGCCGCAGGCAGCTGGTACTACGATGAACCGCTTACATGAAGTATTGCTGCACTGTCGGATTACGCAGAGCAAGCTGACGATAGCACAGCAACTATGTGGAGAACCAGACGCAGCTGTCATCCGAGAAAACATCAATACCTAGTGGCGCCCTGAACTTCCATGCATTCCAGTGAGAAGGGTGAACGTGACACACATCCCTGTGTCGAGATGGGGAAACAGCAACTTCGCCGCAGCACACTGGCTGGGCTAGTGCATCAGCTGGCCCCAGCGGCGCGCAACTGGCGGCAATCGCACGTGCCTGCTGCTTTCAGCAGCGGCGAGCGACCGCCGC